ATAAAAATGCACAGGTGATCAAATGCCACAGAAAGAAAGCTGTATTTGTGGAAAAAAAAAGCGGTAAATTTAATTTGAACCCAGATAACAAGGAGAATACAACAGTATACACTACATCAAGGAAGGCACATCTGCCCAAACAAGAAGGGTATTAAACTCATCCAAGTGAGGGGATCTCCTACAAGTCTATCCAGAATTGGATCAATGGGGGACAGACCTGGTGTAGCCAGCCTGTCATCCCACAACTTATTGAATTTACCAGGACATCCCCGATGTTGATAGATAAGTTTCTCCAACCGCAGAGTATAACCTATGTGGTTTACTCATTCTCTATGTATAGGTGGTTCTGCCTTCAAATGTTGTAGAATAAGATTCCTGGCTTAGAACAGAGCCCGGTTTCAAGCAGCTCTACAATGGTCAGTCAGCTGGGGGGTCAACCAAGACACCCAACAGACATACTTTGGGGTCTAAGAGTAGGGCAATTTTAAGTACTTTGTTAATGGTTTCCATTACCTGGACCCAGTAGCTAAGTAATTTCGGATAGTGCCATAGCGTGTGCATGAGAGTGCCCCGGTCTTGGCGGCCCTTACAACAAGTAGGTGAGTCCAGAAGGCCCATAACATGTAATTTCCAAGAAGTATAGTGGGCCTGAAGAATAATGTACAATTGTGAGAGCCTCTGGGATGTGTTCAAGGGGCTAAGATGGACAGACTCAAGGACACTATCCCATTGGTCCTCCTCAAAGGCACCTACGTCTTTCTTCCATTTTTCCAAGGCATTACAGTGCTAGCCCTCCAGGAACCTTAGGAGGAGCGCCCTATAACACTGAGATATAAGGCCTTTCATAGAGGATGAGTTCTTGATTAAACGAAAGACGGGTGGGGGACATATGCCAATTCCATGAAGGACCCTGAGCTAAAACGACACGTTTAATTTGCATATAATAAAAGAACATAGAGTTCAGAAGGTGAAATCTAAACTGTAGTTTCTGAAAATGAGGCGTAGGTGTGTAAGACACCTCGCTTGTGACAAAGGGGTGTACTGGAGCTTGGCTAGCTCTGGGACAGTTTAATTGTGCCAGGTGGGCGTATAACTTGTAAAACCCTGAACCCCTTCTAGTTGTTTGACTTTAGTTCAAATTTTATGCATCAACACAAAGGTTGTGTATAGCTTGTTAGGCTTGCAGAAAACCGAGAGATTCCAGTCCTCCTGGTAAGTCCTTGGCTTTATAGACAATATGGATGTATCTAGGGCGGAGTCCTGACCTGGAGAGGGGTCCACTGCAGCAGTCTGGGGACCAGTACATAGGTGCTGCAATTGGGCAGTGAGGTAATAAACCCACGGGTTAGGTAAAGCAATGCCTCCATTGTCTTTAGGCCTTTGTAACTGCTCCAGCCTGATTCTAGGTGACCTGTCCCCCCAAAGTAGAGATCTATAAATCAAATTGACCCTGTGGAAAATTCGTAGGGGTATAACCATAGGGGTATTCTGAAGTAAATTAAAGCAACTGGGACATAAGAATCCTCTTTATCAAATTGGCTCTACCAATCAGGGAGAGCCACAGTTTCCCCCATATTTTGACCTTAGTTTTTAAACTTAAGTAGCAGAGGTAGTATATTAAAGTGTTACTAAACACAGGACCCTACATTCACTATATCTGGTCTCCCACACACTACATGCTAAATACCTTTTCTCATCAGCAGTTAGAGCAGTCTTGTGACTTCTATCAGTGTCCAACAGAGCACATGTTATAGCTTGTAGGAGAGGTTTTCTCTCTGCTCTAGGAGGATGCCGAACCCCTGACCTCTGTCTGGACAGTTTTGATTGGCCCTGTGCTGATTGCATGCATCCTCCCAAGAAAAAAAAACCTCTCTAGCAATACACACTAAACTGCGCATGTGCAGAGTGTCTTCACACTATATGTCTTATCAGAAGATGAAAGGGAGATACTGGAAGCAGGGGAGGATCAGAAGAGTCAGGATCAAACAGCATTTTTATACAATGTGGTGGATTAACCCCTTAGGTTCCACAGTGAATATAAGAAGCAAGCTTTACTACATATACAGACTGATTTTACTGTTGTGGGTTTAGTAACATGTTAAGTTTACAATAGTAAGATGATTTGATAGACTCCCAGGAATTTAAACATGGAGGTAATTTGCAATGACTAAAAAGGGAGGGTGGGGTCTATGGGGCTATCAAATGGCAGTAGGGCTGAATTAGACAAGTTTATATTAAGGCCAGAGTAGGTGCCAAAAGTAGAGATAATAGAAGTGGCAGTGCGTAAGGAGGGCCCAGTGTCACCCAGCATATCATCCGCATAAAGCATTTTTTCATGTATGCAATCATATTGAAATCCTGTGATGCCTTCCGCTGATCTAATGAGAGCCGCCCACGGTTAAGTTGAGAGGGCAAAGAGGAGGGGAGACAACGGGCACCCCTGTCTAGTGCCCCTCTCCCAATTGAAAGGGTTTGGAGACCCTACCCCCCCTCCCTGATAACTGCACTCGGGGCATTTTAAAGAAGTCGCACCCAGAAAATAAACTTATCCCCAAAGCCAGAACATTTGAGGATGTTCCCAAGGTACGGCCATTTGATGCTGTCAGATGCTTTTGTGGCGTCCTGGAACAGCAACGTGTGGCTGTCTATATTATCTGCAGGGGTCTGAATATTAATAAATAGACGTCTCAGGTTTTTAGCAGTGGATTTATGTGGAATGAAGCCAAATTGGTCTGGATGATCTATGCTGGCAATTACTTTGTTCAATCTGTTAGCTAAGACCTTGGCTAAGATTTTGACATCAGTTTGTAGCAGCGAGATAGGCCCATATGAGCCCGGGTCAGTAGAAAGTTTGTCAGGTTCCAAAAGGAGGATAAGCTGAGCCACTGACATAGAGGGAGGTAGAGTTCCATCTAGCGAGGCATTGACCTCCTGCAGTAGATGCAGGAGAATATTTGCATATTTCTTATTGACCTCTATGGGTAGACTGTCCACCTCCAGAAGCCTTATACATGAGGAAAGGAGCTGGTCGCCTTCTGCAGCTCTTCTAGCGTAATAGGAGAATCTCTAAAAAGGCATTTCTGAGAATGCTTGAGGGTAGGCAGATCTATGGAACTCTGGTACTGCTAAAGGCTCATCTTGGGGGAGGGGATACCTTAGACTGATACAAATTAGTATAAAACTGAACCAGAGTGACCATAATAAGTTCTGGGGAATTAACCAGGGCCCCAGATTCCATTGCCAGGGCCCCAGATTCCATTGCCAGGGTCCCAGTTGTCTGAGATATAGTTTGTGTGCGGGCAATTTTGGCCAATAGACGGCCGGTCTGTTCACCTTCCTCGTAAAATCCTGCTTTTGAAAAAAAATAGCCCATGCTCTGCCGGGGAATGATTGCACAGTGGTACACATCCTCAGCTGATAGTCACGCTCTCCTGTTAGGGTCTGATGGATCTGAGATGTAAGCTCCTTCTAGCTGTTGGAAGCCAACCTAGATTCCTGCTCCCTGGTGGCCGCCTGCACTGCCGTTATCTCCGAGATAAAAAAAAATAAAGCCCGTAAAAAGCATTTAAAAACATCTCCCACACAGTCAATACATCCTGGCATTGAACATGTCTGGGGAAAATAGTCTTCAATGTGGGCTGAGATGGTCTCATGTGATGTCAATAAATTAAGCCAGTAGGCATTCCATTTCCAGGGAACCTTAGACAGTGTAGTGCGAGATCTAGCAGTCAGCCAGGCCACCAGGGGGGAATGGTCTGAAACCCCGGGCAATATTTTTAATGTGAAGTATTTTTCAGTTTGCGGAAATAATAGAGGTGTGTGTGTGTGTATTTTACCAGTATTGTTTGCTTTATTCAGAAGACATACAGTGCCTTGCAAAAGTATTCATACCCCTTGAAAGTTTCTACATTTTGTCATGTTACAACCAAAAACGTAAATGTATTTTATTGGGATTTTATATGCCACAATTTTGAAAACCATTTATCCTTTTCCTTCCACTTCACAATTATGTGCCACTTTGTGTTGGTCTATCACATACAGTAAAATCCAAATAAAATACATTTATGTTTTTGGTTGTACTGTGATAAAATGTGGAACATTTCAAGGGTTATGAATACTTTTGCAAGACACTGTATAATCTGAAACAGATTTTCATGATAAGAGTTTGGGTTATTCTGGATAGATATTTTTTTCTGTTACTTTAGATTGCTAACCTGCATTTTGCTACTGTATAGGCCATATTGCAGCAGATGGTAGGTTAGCACTTAAACTGGATTTTAGACTTTATAAAGATTACAAGGTAATCTGCTGTAATGGTCATAGCAGCAGACATACAGTACTTAGTATAAACTATCCAAGTTTGTTCAATGCCCTTTTTTCTGTGTTCTATTCCAGTAGTAGACATTTTAGATAAAATCATCTATCCAAAAAACAAAAATACATTAAATTGTTGCATTGACATACTTTAAGTTGTCAGTGGTTGAGAATTTTGTCAACTCATCAAGAAAGGTGGGTGTTATATTATTATGTTTTTATTATTATTATTATTATTATTATTATTATTATTATTATTAATAATAATAATAATAATTTTAATTTCAATATATATTTATTATTCTATTTTTTTTCATGTAATGTCTTTAAAGGGCAACTTAATTTTTGAGTTGGTATGCGCTAAAGACTTATTGTCAATTAAAAAAACCACAAAGAAACAGAAAATTAGAAGAAATCCACACTAAAAATTTAAATTTGAAGTGTTGTACTTTGGTCATACTCCCAGATTCCATTATACTAAGGTGGAACAAACCATATTTTTATTGTGTAACCGTGCTTTAAATGTGTAAGTGTAATTTGCAGCCTTTGCTTAAATTTTTAGTTTTTTTTGCATGCTTCTGCATAGACAGATATTTAGTAGTAAAATTTATTTTTTATTTGTGTTTTTAATATACAAAATCTTTAATTTAACGTTGTTCTTTCCATTTGACTAGGATTCAGGCGCTATGGACCGATCTGATATAGTAATAAAACTTCAGCGCCAGTTAAAAGAAGCAGAGGAGGAGCGTAGTAAGGCTGCACAATATGGCCTTAAACTGCTGGAAAGCCAAAGTGATCTTCAAAATCAATTAGAAGAACAACGCAATGAAATGACTCATGTCATTGAGGTAAATGGCGCAGTTTTAATAAATGTCTAAGTTGACCTGCTTGACGATTTCCACAACTGGTAATGGTGAAAGATCCCTCGCTACATGGTCTTGTGATTTTGTTGCCAGTTTCATTTTGAATAAATCTAATCTTGCCCAAAATGTTTCAAAGCTGACTGTGCTAAAAGAATGTATATGGTATTTCAATTTCTGCCCCTTAATGTCATTCATCTGTCAGAAGCGCATACTTCAGTGGACCGTAGAGGCTCTGGCTTTTGAAAGTGGAATAATACCAAGCACCTGGTTTGGGTAGGATGCAGGGGTTAAAGTGGAAAGTTGAATATTTTTGTGCAGCTAGAACCAAAGTGTCAAGGGGTACTCCATCTGGAATAACTGGAATACTGTAACTGGTAAGCACCAGTGTTTGCGCTGCAGTGCTGTTCTTTGTTTTTGAAATAGTTTAGGCAAGACCAGATTCTCTGGTGAAGTATACCCTAAGCTGTTTGGCTGTACTTATCCTGTAGGTCACAGGAGTGTAGTTCATTGTGCACTCCTGGGAGCCTGAGCCAGCCCCTCCCACCCCCTTTACAGCCCAACGCTCCAGTGAACATTGGAGGTGCAGAGCAGAGAGCCAGTGACTGACAGTCATGGCTCTCTGCTCAGAGTGGAAGGGGATAACTGAGCAATCAGCGGTGTTTGATTGCTCAATTCTCACTGCAAGTCCATGCTTCTCTTTTAATGTGGAAGTATTATGGTGATTGTAAGTACCTATACTTGTTGTTCAGATCACTTCCTTTGTATTTTGGGAGAATGTTGAACCCTAGGCTCAGACTGTATACATGTCTTTCAAGTCGAGTGTAATTTCTGCCTGTACCTCTATGACCAATCGAACGTTGTCATGGAAGGGTGGGTAATTTAAATGGTTGCTTGTATGAAAGTGTAACATTGTTCATTGGGAGCCACAACAGGCATCTGGAATTATGTTCTGCCTCTAGGAGTTTGGACACAAAGCAAGTCAAAAGCTGCTTAATTGCTATATTGCCCTACAAATGCCAGGTAATCGCAGTTTTCCCATCTTTGCAGGAAAGCACCTGAAAGATCATAACTCCATACACCAGAGGCAGGGAACATAAATTCAAAGCCTTTGAAACACGGCTCCATTTGTTTCCAGACAGCTATTGTGGTTCATCCTCTGTGCTGACCAGCACAGATGAAAGCACCTTTTAAAGTAGGCAGGCCCAAGGAGATTTTAGAAATTTTTTGCTATTCTTAGCAGAGCGGTCGGTTATATAATGGATGTCTGCCAAATCCTCTGTCCTGATGAACTTTTTTGTAACATATTCAGGGTGTAACATGTTGTGATCAGAATGGTCCCCGATCCTCGCCTGCTTCCCGTTTTGTGAATGAGAGACTACAAGTCCTGACAACCTTAGCGGCTGTCGGCTTGTAGTCAATGAACTAGCACTGCGCTGTGGAGCGCTGTGGTAGGTCATTCATTTTTCCTGTCAGTTTATCTTGCTTGCTTGTACATCCCGTACAGGCAAGAAGATATACTGACCGATCCGCAGGAGACCTGCTGATCACTGGTGCAATGCTTTACAGGCTCCTGCAAACAAAAATAATAAGTGCACATTATTTTACCTGCAAAACAAAGTGCATTTATTATTTTTTATTAAAGGTAAAGGTGCACGCTCACCAAGGTGAATTTATCCTTTATAACTTCACTTGGGGATTCTTCTTCTTTTGTGGAATTCACTTTTTAGGCCAGAAATCCTGGGCAGGCCAGAAAGGTAAACTGAAGAGAGGGGTAACTGTTACCATAACACCACAAACCTCTTTATTTAGTGGCTCATTGGAGAAGGTTACAAATTAGAATTTTAAGACTACCGACCATCAATATTTTCCCTATCTAAACTACTACTGAACTGGAAACTGCTGCTTCCTTGGTGTCACCATATGTGATTGTACCTGTTCCTGTGGGGAAGAAAATGTTGAATTGCAGAGAACTTGGAGCCATCTTGGAAGCACTGAAAGCTTTTCAAGAACTGCTTAGACATCCTGCTCTTTCACTCTTGCAGAATGCTTAGCTGCAAGAGCAAGTGGCCTGCACTTGTGTGGGTAGGGAACAATGCCAAGTGTTTGAGTTTCAGGGGTTGCGCATGCACATTTTTACCTGTCATCTGCAGGACAGAGGGGGGAACAATGGAATAAACAGCAGCAAGCATTATTTTACAAAACCGAGCATATTCATGCGCATTGTAATTCATAGCGATATTTTTAAATATAATATTCTACTCTTATAGAGTATAAGAATGGGGGGGGGGGGGGGGGGGTCTCCCTCTGAATGTATTGATGGAAAGTCAGTACAGGGTACATGGAAAGAAAGCTCATCCTGATCCTTGGACAAATATTGGCTGCAGCAAGCCTCCTTTCAAAGACTTGGCATTTGTGTTTCCTGCCTTCAGTGGGTGCATTAATGCTTTTTCAGGTGCTGTCATGAAGAATTCTGGAAATATATTGGGAATTTAGACTTACCTAACTCTTTATCTTTATAGGGACATGACTTGTATTTATATACCATGGGTTTTGTGCAGGCTATCTTCAGGTGATTGGACAAAGGAACAAACTTGCTAGGGCCTCCCCTATTGTGCACTTGTATAACCCTGTCCACTCATAAGACTCTAGTTTTTTAGAAAAAAAAAAAGGGAGCGAGCAAAGACGTGGAGGGGCATTTTGTCTATACTGTACTTCAAAATGAGAAATTTACAGACTAGTCCAAAATTCCTCATTTCTTTATTGTACAGAAATTTATAGAACATGGGACATCCCTAATCAAGTAACTAAGGGGTGGGCAGCAACATAGTAAACCGAACTGGCAACAGGCCCACAAAAAACATGGGTTAAAAAACTAACAAAAACATTCACATGACAGCCTGAAACACCTTGTTGCCAAAGCTTGCATCTGCTGAGGCCTGACCTGGTAAAGCAGAAAGTGTGAACAAAGAACGAGGTGGCAACCTTGCAAATCCAAGATGGAGATACTTGGTGCTGAAAATCCCAGGAGACATTCAACAGCCCAGAAATAAGCTCTGAAGGTGTAAAATAGGAACCCTTTCCTTGAGAGCATAGTCTCTGGAAATAAGTTGTCTGATACTCCTGGGAAGGCGGAACAGGAAGCAGGGCCTCCTACATAAGGGCCTAGGCAAGGCAAGAGGTCTCTGGCATAGAATGGATTATGCAGAAACCTGCCCCTTAAGGGGTATTCTGGTCCAGACGCTGGTCAGTACCAGACTGAAGATGGGGCAGCAAAGTGGCTAAATGGTTAGCGCTTCTGCCTAGCTGCACTAAGGTCATCAGTTTGAATCCCAACCATGATGCTACCTGCCTCGAGTTTGTGTTCTCCCTGTGCCTGTGTGAGTTTCTTCTGGGTACTCTGGTTTCCTCCCAAATTGCTAGTAGATTAACTGGCTCCAGTCTAAATTGGCCCTAGTATGTATACAGTATGTATGAATGTGTGTTAGAGACCTTAGATTGTCAGCTCCTTGAGAGTTAGGGACAGATGTGATTGTACAATAAATAAATAAATTTAAGCCAGTTAAAGCCAGCAATAGGGAGCCAGGATGGAACAGGGGGCCTTGGGCAAGTAAGTCTTGTCTGTTTGGAAGAGTGCAAGGCTTGTCACCAGATGTCTGAGTTTATCTGTGTACCACATCTGACTGGGCTAGTTTGGTGTTACTTCACCAGTTAATCACCAGAACCATTTTCTCCTCTATTTGCACAGCAGTTGAGAGGATCTTCATCAGAGGGAGGGCATGAATCTGTCTGAACTGAATCCAAGGAATCACTAGGGCATCTACTGCGAAGACCAGAGGATCCCTAGTCATGACTACTTATCTGTTCAGATTGTTGTTGAACCTGGAGGTCAAGATATCCACTTTTAGATTTACCAACCTTTGACAGGGATTTCAAGAGATTTCAAGGTGCAGAGCCCATTTCCCCAGGTCTATGCATTGGCGGCTTACCAAGTAGCCTGCCAATTGTCCACTCTAGGGATGTAGGAGGCTGGGAGAGCTGGAATATAAGTTTCCATCTAGGAGAGTATCAGATTTGTTACTGTTATGGCAGCATGACTTTTGGTGCCCCACTGATGGTTTATATTGGCCAATGTTGACTGCACCCTGGTTGGGTGATACTGTGGAATAGGAGTCCAGTGTTGAGTCAATCCGATGGTTTCAGAATGTTGATGAAGAGTTTCAGGTCCCCTTCACAGTTAGGGAGTTGTAAAGTCTGCCCCAACCTGTAAAGCCTGCATCCGTCATCACCACCTTCCAGGTTATGAGAATGAAAGTTATCCTAATCATGGGGGCGTGTCCAAGATGGCGACTGGACAAGTCGCGTGATCTGGAGCTCCGGCGGAGACTCGCACAATCCGCTGCCATCCAGGCGGCAGTGGACCCGGAGCGACAGGCAGGGACAGCGCGGGACTGCAGCGGAGGTGAGCCAGGTGCATATCGCCCCCCTCCGCGGCAGCGATCCCCTGTTGCCGAATACGGCCTGCTGAAGCCGCGGCCGCGGCTAAAATCATTACCGGACGGGAGCCGGGTTTAAGCGGTGGGAGGCGGAGGGGACTCCTGTGGATCAGCGGGCAACCCCTCCCCCCTTTCAGACCAGGGGATACGGCCTGCAATAAAGGCCTAGAAACGCCCACACACTTCTATAGGCCTCAATGAGCCTTCAGTGGGCCAGGGGCACAGCCTACACTGGGATCCTCAAGGTGCCCACATTGCCATAGACCCTACTGAGTCACCAGAGGGCCCACAAAACCTTCCATACCTGCGGCCCTGCATCTGGGGAGTACTGAAAAGGGCCCCTTACATCCGCCCTGAGGGACCCGAAAACCAACACATTACGGGGGCCCTGACAGAGTTGCACATAAGTTTATAAACACCGTGGGGCCCAGCATGGGTCCAGAAAACATGGTGGCTTAGTTACGGGAGACCTGACACGAGGTGAAAATTTTG